CCAACCTTTTTCTTAAAAATAAATGTGACGTTGAATTCACTTTTTTGACCACAATTGTGGGTGTACTGTTTTGTTTTTGTTTTTACTGATGGGGCGTGGGGGGTGTGGCTTATAGTCCGGTGCAGCTTATATGTTGATGTTCGCGCGTTTTTTTTTTTAATGGCGGGTGCGGCTTATAGTCCGAAAAATACGGTACCCAGAATTCCATTAGTCATCTAGCTTTTCCCTTCCTGTTTGAGAGATAGCTGTGGCTCCAACATACAGTGAGCTGCTTAGTTTACCTGAAAGCTGCAAAAAAAGACGCAATAAATAAAAGTTTTTACATTACAACTCCGGAACAAGCAACAGATAATAGATGCGGAAAAATATGGCATCACTAACAGTTTTACAATTCATTTGATTTCTGTTGCTAATTTGGGGACCCTCAATTAATGTTTCACGGCCCAAAGCAGGGTGCAGACCCCCCACTTTGGGAACTGTTGTAAGTATTCCCATCATTTAATCACTTAAACAGCAATTAAATGCACTTAATTACATTACTTCGACAGAGCAAGACTACAATTTTACTCTATACTAAATGACGTGGTTATATTTTCACAGGAACCTCCACAACACCGCCAAGCTGTTGGATCAGAACCAGAACTGGGTCAACWTCGATGCAGGAAATACACTCATAACAAAAGCATTTTTCCTCTAGTGTTCAACGTGGCTCCCTCTTAATCTCCTGCTCGGTTAATACATTTGTTTAAAATTTAAAAAAAAAATGCAGCGCGAACTATACACCAGGAAGTTTCAGTTTTCAGCGGGTCACCGCACAAGTTTTAAAAACAACTTGTCTCCTTCCTCAAACTATTTAGTCTTGTTTATCGTCATGTAATAAAAAAAAATAAGAAACGTGAGGGACTTACCAGCTGTTTACACTGCAGCAAGACACTATAATGTTGACATGTAGGCAACTTGTATTACAGCTTGATATATTCCGTTTCAACCAACGAAGACGACGCGAGGAGAGTAAAAAAAGAAAATGCCCCMAAAAAATACTTCCTAAAACTTTGCAGGCCACTTCTTCGCCGCACACACTTTCATCAGAAGTTCTTAGTGGAGGTGGGCGCCATGTTTGTGTCTGCGTTGATAGTTTTGTCGGTGAGCTTTCTTCCTTTAAAAAAAAAAAAAGAAAAGAAAAAAAGAAAAGAAAAGAAAGACGTCCGTTTCAGGCTGGAACCGCCCAGCGAAGAGGAGCGGCTTTTCAGCGTCCTCAGCTCTGAAAGCAAGCTCTGGTAAACAGGCGAGCCGGAGCCATGTCAGTTACAGCACGTAAGACAAGCCACTTCCGGAAAGTATTTTCAAAGTAAAGTTTTCTGATTACGGAGCCCCTTAGGTGACATGGTGGAGAAAAAAAATGGATCCTGAAATAAATAAAAAAAATTCGTGATCCTACGGAACCTACGAGGAGACATGGGAGATTTTTTTCTTTTGCGTTCCCACGCAATCAGTGTTGCCAGATAGGAAATGTTGAATTATCGTATCAGCAGCTCAAAATTATCGTATTTTGAGGAAAATTATCGTTACATTCTAGAGAGGCTCAAATTTACAAATGCATACTGCTCAGCTCACAATGTGCTCTGCATTAAACAAACTGCACATTCTTTTGTTTGTAATAAAGTTAAAAAGCTCTGTTGGGTGTCCTTTTTTATTACTATTATTTTTACAAAAGCTTTGTTGTAAACAAGGACAAAACATGGAGTCTGGGGGAAATGCTGCATTTAAAAAGAAATGCTAGATAAAAAGACTAGAAAAAAATGTAAATTATAGGCAAAGTTAAAATGAAAAGAACAAATCATTGTAGTTTAGTGTACTTTTGATT